AACAAAGAACATTAACATTTTTGGACACATTTGATATCTAACTTTCCTTTGTTCAATCAAATCAATTTTGCGGTACAATGCTCGACCACGTGTGTCGCAAATAACGGTGCAAAAATTGAACACGTTGAATTATGAAACTTTACTTCGTACTCTATATTCGTCGGGTTTTCCCGTTTTTAAATATTCAAGTGGCTTGCTCAAAGAAGAAACCGTCAGGAATCGAGCAACCGTTGAAGACGCCACAAAAGAATCGATTAATACTAGATTTCTACCTGATTTTTATAAAAATGGAATGAAAAACTAGAATGTTGGGAAGAATGTGTAAAACCCAATAATTGTTATTTCGATGAAAAATATCGATTATTAATGAATTACAAAAGTTCTACATAATTCGTAATTTTTCGAGAATCCATTGGTATTTCGTTAATACTTAATATTAACAAATTGAACATCACACGATTTCGTAAAGCAAAATACACAAAACAAGAAAACTATAATGTTAAATCACTTGATTGAATTGAATAATTATTATTGCACGTTCATCCAGCTAAATATTACCTCATTAAGCAGCGTTATTAATAATACCGAAATATTTTCCAATAATGATCGTTTAATTGAGTGAACTATAGTAATTCAATTAATGGCAACGTTTTAAATTAACTGTGGCTATTTCTAATTTCGATTATTCAAGCCATCATTGAATCTTTCAACCTAACGCTATTAAATCTAATCATTAACTCGATCATTATTATATCTTTTTTCTTATAAAATAAACTTTATATAACGCGAGACACGTGTACAGTTCGTTCGACTGCCGTTGCTAGATTTTATATTTCGAGAAATGGTTCGGGAAGCGAAAATAAGGCTACAGTCGAAAGGAAAGGCATTGCAGTCCGTTCTGAAGTTATCAAAGATTAAAAATCTGTTTCACCTGTGACAATTCCTCAATAGCGGTGTTCGCGAGACAACTCAATAAGAGCGCCACTATTGGCAGGCTTTAAGTAGAAGGATGCGCTACCCTGAAGCGTTTAAAAATAGACGAAGAAAAATGGACACTTTGAAATGTACCTGTCACGTGACTTTCTCCTCCGTGCTTCAATTTTAGAGAAAAACATGTTATAAAATGGAGGAATTACTTTCGAATTACTGGAACTCGTTACTCGAAATATGAATCCGTGGCAAACAGAATCAACAGCCACAACGTCGGAAATTGAAAATTTCTTTCAATTTATGTATGAATGAGAATGTGTACGCTGTTAGCGGCTGGAATAAATTTCTAATTTTTATAGGAACAACGCTGCTTCGAAGAGAGAACATTTCTTTTTATAAAACAAACATTGACTATAAAGTCTCGATAAGAAATTTAAATGATTCAGGTATTGAAGAGAAGAAGAAAAGTTTTAGGAATCATTTTACCTTAAAAAGATTGCGATTTTTTTCAGATGTAATCAATTGTCGAGCTTCTTTTTTCATTCAAGTACGACTAAAATCTAATTTGTTATCAGAATCGCTTAAAATTAAGTCCAGATATGTTATTTATTAATTATCCTCCTAACAAAATAATTAATTTCTAATATATTTTAACTTAATTTTTCATTTATATTACAAACTATATTATTAAATTCTGCAATCTTCTCTCCCCTTAAAAAATTTACGAATTTTCACTTAAAATTTCGTTTCATATTTTACATTTTCAAACACTTTATATTTCATTAATTCTTTCATTCTTCATTTAATTAATTAGAAGCCAAATGCTACAACTATTTAAAATAAAACTCGCTAAGTAGAACAAACCTTAAATGAATTTTCAAAAAAATCATCTATTTGCATTATTACAACCTGGTCAATTTCAACAAATGACAGATATAGTTTCATTAAAATTCCCCTACTTCGTTCAACAAATTATTCCGTCGAATATTTCGTGGACATCAACTGTTTTCCCTTTTTTATTATTGACCATAGTGATCAAGTTTCTCATTAAAAGCACGGATCATTAAGCCCACGAAAGTATTAAACGGTGGTATTCAAATATGAAAGAAATCATTAGAGGACACCACGTGATATACAAATCGGTACGTACGGCAGGGGCTTTTAGTAAGATTAAACAACGATTAGCGAGCACACATTAACTTGGAAATTAATTAACAAAGTAAACTATAAACGCGCACGCGGGCACCGTTTGTTGAGGGCTGTACTTAACTTTCAATCGAATGCAATGGCAAAGAGAACACGTCTGATGCTCTTCAAACAGGAACTTTGCGATGCTGCGACGACCAAATGGAACGTACTCGCGATTCACAATACATATGATCTTCATTAAGCTCCTCAGTGCGTAAACCAACCGTCAAACTGTGGATTGAGTAATTAAACTGACCGCAACTCGAACCTCAAAACGGATATCTTTGTCGTTACAAATGCCATCACATGCTAAAAATGGTGCAGCATCATTCTGGAATGTTACCTTTGTTGTCTTTGAATATTCAAGGCAACATTGCACTTAATAATTAATAATTAATAATTAATACGTTACGATTGAGTGTTTGCAATGAAATCTTACGATATTTTTGAGATCAATTTGACAAATGGAATTGTAAATTGTGAAGTTCAGTAATTTAATGAGAATGTTTCAGTTACTGTACATTTTAATGAAGGTGCATTTATTAAGCTATTTTCTCAGATATTTGAAATATTACAAAACTTATTTTTCAAAATAAATATTTCAAAAAATATATCAGAAAATTACTTTTCAAAATACTATAAGATCATTAAAGGCGTATGTACGATAAATTACAAGCGTATGGTATTAGTATTAATTAAAACGTACATTGATTAATCCCAAGACTTTGAGTTTGTAGGTTAATAATACAAATCACATTATAAATATGTAATAAAGTAGACATTAAACGAAACTTCAAATGCAACGGTGAAATAGTTACCCATAAAATTCGTATCTCGTGTAATAAATTATAAACACATTGAATTAGTAAATTTACGTTCTAGTTTACCGTAACAATTTATTAGCAGCTCTCGACGTTAAAATATAAATGCGATATGGGTGATCAGAAGCGGTGGAAGCTTTAATTTCGCTATAATTCTCTACTTTTAATGTGACCTACGTATACCATCAATCACAATTCACATTTCCATAGCATAGGCTCGTATATCAGAATGGATTAATGAACGCAGCAATTTAATATAAATCAACACGCACGTGTAATGCGACGACAAAAGTTTCGACTCAAATGCAAAAATATAGAACCAACGAGAAATATTATTCATGAATTTGTAGGGAAAGTAACAATGACTTGTCGAATATTTTCAGTAGCTAGTATTTTGTAGTATTGCCACGTGCACGTGTCACTGAAATAATAACGTTTTCACATTGCAATGGCTGAATTTGTTCCCAAGATAAAATACTGACTTGTAATCCTTTTTATTTATCTCCTGTGTTCTTTTCGAATCAAATCAAGATCACTTCGAATGAGAGTTGTTTGAAAGTTGCTGACAAGTGTGATTGTGTTTCCACATGATATACAAGTTTCCAAAAACCCTAGGTAACTTAGCTGACATAACCTAGTTTATCTTATGACTGTTTCGACGAACTTCAAGTGATGATGATCGTGGCGTTTTTCGACTAACTGCAATGGTCTGCAATAATTACCTTTTATCTTTCGTTATTATAATATTTCCTTTGTTTAATATCAACGTGATATAAAGATATAAAAATCTATTTTTGAATGAAACCCTATGCATACTATAATGAATATTCGAAGAAACTGAAAATAATCTATTGTTACAGTTCTTATAGGGGTTACATATTAAGTATATTAAATTCTCGGTAGTTCTAGTGTTAATTAACAGTCAGAATGGCTGATTTCGATTTGTTTCGCAATTATTGACATTTTCAAAGCATTGAACATTCCAAACGATCTTGAAAATAAATAGTTCCACTTGAATTCTACAATGAGTCTCTGAACAAACTGAAAATAATCTGTTATTACAATTTTTATATAGATTACATATTAAGCATATTAAATGTTCGGTAGTTGAAAGGTTAATTCTTGCATAAAAACGAGACGTGGTAACGATGGCTGAAAGAAGGCCCGCCAGCCTTATTAATCACCCAGAAATTGCACACGATCATTGGAGAAGGGTCGACCAAAAATATGGACGGGCTAATCGAAGTTATATCAGGCTCGCTCGACACGGTAGGGTACCGGGCTAATTGAAGTACCATGGTGCACGACACGCAACGCAGCGCTGCGCTGCTCGGCGGTACGCCTCCGGCGAAACTTTTCCCACGGGAACGTTTAATACGAGAATGTTCGAAATAAGGTAATTAGATGTAATTGGGAATCGGTAAATGGACCACGCGACGTCCTTATTTCCGAAAGGGGTCTTATTTATTCACGGTGCTATCGCTAGAAGAAACGCTGGATAACAACATCCACGAGATGCACGAGAGTAGTCGGGCAGAAAATTAATTGAATCGAACCAGCCTTCGAATCCGACCACAATAGTACACCGATTTCAACCTAAGTATATACTATCCAGACGATATCTTTACACTTCTGCATCGAACTGAAGGGAAGAAGAGAGAACACCAAGCAGTTTAGTATATAAGGTATACAGCTGACCCGTCGATTTCACGGATATTGAATTGTTTAATCGTTAACACGTTGACTGCCAGAATTTCGTGCGTGTTGTAGAATATTACTTATTCTTTCGTAATAATGGTATGCTTTTATAACAAATCATACCACGATGTGACTCTCGTTCACTTGTGAGAATAAAAGGAATGATTAAAATGTTATTGCTTATAGAGCCGAAATAATCAAAAAATTTCAGTAAAAAGTTCAAATGTCACTAAAAGTCACATCGTGGTCCGGCTAGGATTAAAAATCAAATTGCAACGACTCCACGTTGGGACACACTGCTGTAGAGTGTATCGAGTCTAAAGATCATAGTTTAGTAAAATTCCGCATAAAAAGGCTACTCACCTTGAAGCCAGTAAGGAACGTCACGGGATCAGGGGGGATCCTGGCCGAGGACGCCTGGGTAGTGGCCCCGTAGCTCAGCTGATGCTGATAGTTGTAAAGGATCTTTTTGTGAGCACTGGCTTGAGCTCTATAAGCCGACACTGATAACTTCATTTCTTTGTGTTCCCGATAAAGGGTCCGATTCTCCCGATGCTCCTGCCGGGGCACATTCTCGCTCCTTCGTGGTAATCTTAAGCCTTCTTAAAGATCACCACGCAGCCGTGTCACCGCGACGAGAATCTCTCGGAAACGGATCAAACAGGAGAAACCACCAAGCTACCGCGCAAATTGCATCCACCAAGTTACCCCTTCTTCTCCCACCGTTTGTACACCTTTCCAGCTCTAATCAATCTTCCGGTATCCTCCGCGGCGCATCCGTTTCCCGGATGTGCCCGACGTCTCGTCGAAATCGCGACGTTCAAAATTTGCAACTTGAACCGTAGGTCTACTCGTCTCGAGGCCAGAGCAACCGGTCATCTAATTTCCCGCATTTGTTCCCTGTTTTCGAGCGCATCGTCGAGACTCGACGCGGCTTTAAGCCGCTAGCCGACCGAGAGTTCCCCTTAAAATTCTACGGAATTTCAGTTTCGCTGCGAAACTAAAGGCGCATTCTTCCGAAACTCTGCTCCTTTTTCCTGCCGGTTCTCTGTGCTAGACAATCAATAACGCGTTAATGATTCAGCGACAAATGAGAGAACAGCTAGGCTCTCGTCTTTCTCTTCTCGTCGACCTCCTCCCGGAAAAATACAAGTTTCTTGCTCTTTGTTCCCGTGTCACCGTTGCGTCTACGCGAAACTCTCCCGCAGGCCTCAGGACTTCGAAGGCAACCGGATGCAGGCTATCAAAATCTTAGGATACTCTGAACAAACTCGGAACGGAAGTCCTGGAACGGATTCTCTTCGATCGCTCCCCCGTTTCCATAGTCGGTCCCCGTTCCAGCGACAAACCCGTTTCGACGTCGAATCCGCGCTGACTCTTCACAGTCGCAGAGTAACAATAATCTCTCATCGACAACAAGTAATAATTCTCATCTGTTCGCTAGACTCTTCCATCGTTCAACTTGTATTCATTTACATATGTACATAATATTCATCTTGTTTGTGGCGTAACCGTAATTCTATGTGTTAAAGGCAGACGTACGAACCTCTCCGACGCACGTTCCTCGTCATCTTTTCACATGGAACCCCATCTTCGGGGGAGGAACTATGTACCCTCGGTGTTCTTCCAGAAAGACTTCAATTCTTCGATGCGATCAGTGCTAGCGAGCGTGATTCACGAATCATCTGTTCTCGGAACATCACCGTCTCGCTGCCTTTTGTCCCGATGCGGTTCAGACTGTAAGGCCACGTGCCGCTGGTCATTAAAAGCCGACTGCGTGGGACATCGCGGAAGAAGAGCTTCCTCCTCGCAATGAAACGCTGGCGAGGATGTTCCCCTGACTCGTTCAGACGACTTCCGCGCAGTTTTTCCTCGTCGGTCTTGCTTGCAGCTAATTCTAGGCCAAGCAACAAGCTGTCGAGATGCGAAAAAGCTCGGGCGTAATGTCCACTGCCTCGGTGAACCATTGGACAGTTGAAAGTGGATGTTCCGCTGCTCTTTTAGATACTCCTTTCTTTGCGCCTTCAGCTTGCCATTGTCATTGTAGTTTGTTTCCTGTTTGATCGTACGGTTCGATCGGTTGATCGTAAGTATGTACTAGATGAAATGGAATCATCGACGGATCCTCGGACTGTGGAATTTATCGATATTCGTGCACTACAGGCTGGACACTTCGGCTGTTCGATCACTGCACAGACATTAGACATTCACTATGATGACTGGTGTCCGGGACGAACGCTGTGAAATTCGATTTAAGATGCGGAATTTAGATACACCGGTTTAAACTGAATACACTGATCGTTAGTCTCGACGAACGTCGCGCACTGGTCAACGGTGGTTAACGGAGTGTTTAGAGGTTGAGATCCGGCGAGTCAACGGCTGCAAGTTTCACGCGCAAAGCGAAATGATTTCGGAAACCTGTCAAGTATCATCGCCAAACTTGTGACCTTATTTAGACGAGGTATCGCAGTCAAGTTCTCAATCGATGCTCTAATCCTTGGCATTGTTGTTCGTACCGCTGCCCCGTGTAATTACCGGTTGACCACGAATTATCGAATTATCGAATTCGCGACATCGTAAACGTACCTGTGCGATGCGCTCGCAAAACGGGCATCGTCACGGAAACGTGCTTTTGCTCGAAGAACTCGCTGAAACGCGGCGAACATGCGGTGGACGAAAGAAACTTCTTCGCGTGTATGAGTGTTGGAGATTCGGCTAGTAAACTGGTTGCGTGTGATTGACGACGATCGTCTATTCTGTGGAATTCTTTTTGTCTGTATTATTTAATAATTAACCCGTTGAACTATGTAGACTCCGATAGTGCACCAGTTTTAATTATTTTCTAGTTCTAAATAGCAATTGACGACGATCGTCTATTCTGTGGAATTCTTTTTGTCTGTATTATTTAATGATTTACCCTTTGAACTCTGTAGGCTTCAATATTGCACCAGTTCTAATTATTTTCTAGTTCCAAGTAGTAATTGACAGCACTCGTCTATTCTGTGGAATTCTTTTGTCTATATTATTAATGATTTACCCTTTGAACCCTGTAGGCTTCAATACTGCACCAGTTCTAATACTAAATATTTTAATGAATCCTAGAAAAACTACCCAAAGATTATTAGATTTTCCAAACATCCAAATTTTGAATTCAGAAGGGAAATAAAAGATCTGAGAAATGTTCTACTATTGTTAACTTTGTTTCTCGATTTACTTATGATTTCTCTTTGACTTAATTTCAAACAACGTCATCTTTCTCGTCAGAAAATATTAAATATTCCTAACGAAATACTTCCGAGTGCAAAATGTTCAAAGATGACGAAACAAATCAGAAAACGTTAGTCTGAATATTTTGAAGCAACATCTATCATTCGACGAACGAGTCACGAACAACCTATTATAACTTTGACAATGTATTGCACGGTACACCGAATTACAGTTCGAATCAATGAACAGCGAGAACAGAAAAAGATTACGATGGAAATCATCAGGCCGCCTTGAGCGAAATATTTAACCAACCATTAAACACGGTGGTGCGCCTCTATAATGCTTTGGGGTTGCTTCTCCGTAAAGACTGTTGGAAATTTAATGAAAATTGACGGAAGAATGATTGACGATGACCATGCCGATATTTTAACACTTCAATACGGATGCTTATTAATAGGCTCCTCAATATTCCTGCTGCGTTAATAAGAAACTCCGTAATTTTCCTTTAGATACGTTCGAAAAATATCGCTACGTTATATACCACTGATTTAGATGATTTAAAGAGTCCTCAGACATTAAACTTCTAGCAATTACTACCAGTATTTAGCTTACTATTAGCTTATAGCATATGAAATGTCCGATTTTGGTTAATCAGTACTGTATCTCCTATTTTAACGATAAACATTAAAATTTTTGGACATACTTTCAACCTAACTTTGAGATCTTAATTTGCCCAATCGAAAGGAGTCAATCTTACTCCACTTATATCTTCAATTCATCCCCATACATATTCCCTGGATCTATCTCTTTCCACTTTTCTTGAATATTTAAGTCTCTTCCTCAAAGAAGAAGCCTCCAAATCAAGCAACCGTTGAAGACACTATTAACCCTTTGCACTCGAAATTATGAAAATAAAAAATCAATATTCAACCTTTTATTAGGTATCAACACATGAACCTTAGAAATAAATTAGTTCCAACCCTTAATTTACTTTATGTTACTTGCTAACAGTATCGTCAATATTTCAATAGAAAAATATTGTCGAGCAAAGGGTTAAACAACCTATCAACACCAAAATACCATATTCATATCAAAATAGACTTCAAAACCTAGAAACTTATCGTAAACAATATACAGACTCCACCAATTGTTATTTCGATGAAAAATATTCTACTACACAACTATTCACTTAAAGCTAATCCCAAAAACCAAACATTTCACATGCTACAACCTCTAAACCTCTACTACCATCCCTATTTTAAATAAAACACGTGTTCCCATTTCTCCCAAGAAACCCTCTCACCCATTACTCCATACACATAAGCACACATATCGCGAAGGAATGATTCTTACATCTCTATCGTTTACCTTCCAACCCTTTCGTCCAGCATGTACGAATCGCGTTTCCCCAGGAATGAAATTAGAAGTCAGAAGCAGCTCCGAAGCATCGTTACCGCAAGCCCGAGATGATGCGTGCGTCGAATCAAAGCGGCGTGCACCGAGAAATCAGGATTTTTCCCGTGACGATCAAAGCGGCGGGGCTCGGTTACGCGGAAAGGTAAACGTTGCAAAAGCGGAGAGAAGTGCCGACGACCAGAACTCGGTCGAAACGTTAGTAGACCATCGAGTGGCGTCCGTAGCTCGAACATAACTGGATTACCGCTACCAACGACACCGTGCATCGGGACATCGACTAACCGCCACGAGGTCCGGAGTGTCCGTTCTATATTCACCCTTCGCGTATAACAGGATTAAATATTATCATAAACTGCGCACACCGGCTACCACGCACGCAGAGCAAACGTGCCACCTACACGAATTCCGCTTCCCAGTGATTTTCCCCCCGCGAGTTTCGTTTCCGCGTTATTAGATCGATCCCGATCATTCGCGGAACTTTCGAGTCCGTTGCCAGTTTTCTTAAGTTCTAGGGAGGAGTTAGATTCGTCGATGGAGAACAACGCGTTCATTGCGAGGATTACCTTTGGACCTTTCGAAATTGAAATGCGACTTTGCTACTTCGTGGCTTAACCGTTTCAGGTACTTTTGTATTTTTTCATTGAGAACTATGTACTAATAAGGCATTTCAGTAGAAATTCAGTTTAAGGGATAGTTAGTTTGTAGAGAGCAGTGTGAACGATTCTTTTTAGTAATAATATTGAAGATTTCTTTGAGAATTCTGTATTATTAGGATATTTTAGTTGAAATTCAGTTTAAGGGATAGTTAGTTTGTGGAAAGCAGTGTGAACGATTTTTAGTAATAATATTGAAGGTTTAATTGAGAATACTGTATTATCAGGATATTTCATTAGAAATGCAGTTTAACTCTTTGGGGTTAGGTGGGTTAAAAACTATCCCACCCTTTGCTTAGCTTCTCATGCATGGTCGTACAGTTTAATGTTTTATTTAAAGTTTTTCGTTCAGTTGGCAATGCTATGAACTAACGGTGAATAAGTGAATAAATTTCGAATTATACTGGAATGAAGAAACTAAGCTATTTTATTTCAATATTATTATATTCTTAGAATATTTCTAACGAAACATTTTCGAGTGCAAAGGGTTAACACTAAAACCACTGGACTGGACAAGTCGATCTATCCCATAATTACAATACTGTTCTATTAACAAGGATAAAGTATCAACATCTAGAAAGTGACCAAATTTTTGTTTTAAAGACCAAGATAAATAATTATTTCCTTATTTTCCAAAGTTTAATAATATCACTTTGATTTTCACTGAAGCTCATTCTTCTCAAAAGCATTCATATATTTTTTGAATGTTTAACCAATAATTCTAATCATTGCAACAGTTTTGAGAGTCACTGTACTTCATTTTGTCCTATGATGCAAGTGGGTTAATGAAAGTGGTACTTGAAAGTCTGCATATATCTTCGGGACACAAAGGCTTAAGATAATGGCATCCCTATCTGTATTACACTTCACGATCAGATCTTGCTAATTTAGCTTTAAGTTAATGACTCCTACTTTAAATTAATCCACGATGTGTAATTCTGTTAAACGTATAGCCTTAACAAATTGAATGTTACTTGAACATAAAAGATACCCACAAGCTTATCATTCCAGTAATTTGCTTACTCGATTACTTCTTCATTACTCGTTCAGTTAAAATGTCTCGATACATATGGTCCATTACAATCGATTTGAAATGAAACTAGAAATTACGATACCAGAAAATCTAATTTATTTTATCGAATAAAATTTCTGTTCATTGGAACGCCTTTAATCAGCACATCGATCGATTGCCTCGATCAGCGAATAGATATTCCATCATCGTAAAATAAAAAGTTTCTTTCTATAGAATTTCTTCCACTCATTTTATTTTCTTCACTCTTTTTAACAATGTCGTTAATATCGTGTTCTTCTTTATGCATTAAATTGCACGCCAACGGTACAAATACCTACGTAATTTATGCAATATTATTAATCGCGGGATGCAACCAGTTTTAGAACTTCCCCGAGTATTAATGAAGTTTAAGTTTCAAAACAGCTTTCGCCTTTACGCTTTTCTCTACTTTATTATCCTCTTGTGAACACTGCGCCATGCATCTATAGTTGCGGGACTGGACAATGCGAGCCACATATTTCCGAGATGACTTAAAGTTCGAACTGGAGAATCTCCCGTATCCGAATTAACAGGTAGGTAAAAATGTTCAAAAAACGAAGCAAGTACTTTTCTGCTGCTTAATTCCATTTATAATTTATTTCTTATAATCATAGTTCAATTAAACATTCGACTACTAAATTTATAATTATAATTTAAACATTTGATTCCTCGACACAAGCCTCAGCATTCAGACTGTTCAGAAAACAGGATAAATACTTTTCTAATACTTAATTCCATTTATACTTTATTTCTTATAATCATAATTAATTTAAACATTCGACTACTAAATATACAATTGTAATTTAAACAATTAATCGACACAAGTCTTACCATTCAGACAGTTCAAGGAACAGAACAAACACTTTTCTAATACTTAATTCCATTTAAAATCGATTTCTTATAATCATGATTCATTTCAACAATCAATTGCTGAATTCATAATTGTAATTTAAACATTCGATTCCTCGACACAAGACTTACCATTCAAGCATAAAGATAAATAATTTTTTAAATACATTCTACACAAAGAGAATAACCTGTGTCTAATATTCCATAATGTTCAATAATATTTAATACCATCATAATGTTTGATAATATGTTATAATCTGCGAATTCAGTAAGCCCACCCGTTGGCCTCTCCTAAAATTCATAAAATTCATAAAATCCGTTGGAAATGTGATTTACCGAACTAAAATCCAATAAAACGAAATGAAATTTTTCACGGCGAACGTGCTTGGAAATAAAAGGCTGACTATACGTTGATCAATTCCCGTAATTACCCGGCTGAATCCCGATGTCCGTAACGATCACAATTATTTACGAACCAAGTACATTCGCCTCTGTTGACAATGTTGCTGGCACTGTTTAACGAGCACACACTGTAATGCATAAGTACACGTCATGCACGTAAACCGGGGAGAAACAGTAGTGAGAACAGCATAACCCGTTCGTCAACTGCGTCGCCCATTATACGCTGACTGCATTGCTGTTTCTCTCTCTCTCTCTCTCTCTCTCTCTCTCTCTCTCTCTCTCTCTCTATCTGGTTTCTCTGGTGTTATCTCTTTCTAGTTTCAAGTCGTCGTTTCTAGTCTTTCTACGATGCCCTTGCACAAACAGGAGCACGGTGTAATTCAGTTTATCGATCATTCCAATTGGTCATCATAAGGAATAGAGGGTGGAACGTTATTAAAACTACGAGAGAGATCAAACTGACCCATTCCTGATCCCCTGCTTTTATAATTATTAAAAAGGTAACAGATGTTTCTTTGGGAAATTATTGAAGGAATCAATTCAGCAATACGAAAACTGAATTGTAAATCAATTAAAACTACGATATAGAAACTTCAAGAATGCATCTATCGAGATTTTAATTCATTCATAAACTGTAATTCATAAAATTTACTTTGCATGTAGCTAAATCTGGTATCTTTTTAACAATTGCAAAATGGATAATTCAAGAATATATTGAAATTATTCTTCGTCAACCATATTTTCACCCTGTTCTAACTCTATTTAAGCAAAAGAAGAATCATCCAATTCTCATAAAGAAACAAATATGTCAAAGTCCAATATCTTCACAGAAGCTTCCCAAAATTGTACCATAAAATCCCTAGAAAACTTTGATAAGAATCATAATTAGTAACTTATAAAAACCAGACAACAGTTTAGATAATAATCAAGAATTCGATGAAAGCTTCCAATTAGAGTAACAAACCTTTCGTGCCAACTCAACTAAAGGAACGAATACTAGAAATAATCGACCTTTCATGCCAACCAAACACGTAGAATCAATAAAAGGGTAAAACAATGATTAATCTCGAAGAAGATAGTAAAACAGTAGGAAAGACGATAAGGTTAAGCTGATCTCCACAGATTAAGCAGCATTAATCGTCGATCAATGAAAGGAAGTATTGTCGTCGGATAGACAGCAGCTGACAGATTATCCTTCGTCAGCGCTTCCCATCCTTGATTCTCATCTTTCCCTTTTCATTAATCGTTGCTCTGGTGTCTCCGCTTTCTTTTTTTTTCTGATCGTGCAGCCAATAATTATGGAAATCAAAGGAAAATCGAAGGAAACATCGCGCGAACTGTTCGAAAGGACAACAGAGAATATCCAGTGTCCTGTTTCAGATGAGAAAAGCACGGCCGAACTAATTCAAATATAACCTTGTTCCGCTTCCTTGGTCTATTTCCTCTCGCAGAACGACGGGTTGCCGTATTTCTAGACACTTCTCATAAATGAGTTACGCGATTTTAAATCGAGGTCGACAGCTATCGCGCAAGAAGGTCAGAATTATTCGGACGATTCTTATTGCGCAACCAACGATTTACGCTGAGTTTCTGCCAATACCGGGTCAGTTCTGACCCGTGTTTCATCGGTGGAACTAAGAGGTGGTTTCAGAATCAACGATTCCTAGTTTCTTCTTTTATCATCGCTGTAAAGATACTGACGCTTCTTTAACTCTTTGGGGTTAGGCGGGTTAAAAACTGTCCCGCCCTTTGCTTAGCTTTTTATACGTGCTGGGATAAAATATATTTTAACCCACCTCGAACAGTTGTAGTTACTGATAGTCACACAGTTTAATATTTTGTTTAAGGGTTTTCATCCAGTTGGCAATGCTATGAACTAAATATATGGGTAAATAAGTGAAAGCAAAAATGTATACACGTCGAAACGCATTAGTAAGTTGTCGAGAGTGTTGTGATTAAGGTTGGCGAATTGTGTGGCGTGGTGAATTCTGTGTAGCTTCGCTTGTTTTCTTATTGAAAATCGTGTGCCTCAAAGTGTTAAGAAATCATTGAAGAAGCTGATTTAATAATACGTAGACTGAAATATAAACAATTGAAATCTTAACCCTTTGCACTGGAGAAGTGACTCTCACTCACCACTTTATTTCATACTATAAAACATCAAAACTATACAATTTGATATTTCATATTATACTTCGTATAATGCATCAATTTGAAAGATAATGAAATATAATAACATTAATTGAAAATGCAATTATCAGTGTCTGAGGATTTTACAGTAAATATTACAAGAGTAATAATAATAACTGGAATCGTAAACTAATCGATCACTATCACTAATGTGACATAACAATTCCATTGGGAATAATTATTTATGTCTAATTAGTATGAAACTTCTCATCAATATAGAATAGTCGATGAGAAGCCTATTAACTGATTAAGGATCAAAGTTTCGCCCGACTGAATTTCAAAAGAAGTCACTAATCGGTATTTGGTTCATGAAAATGGTGAAATTTTTATGAAAATTCTTATTCGAATCATAAATGTTATGATAAAAATGATTAAATTTCTTTTAGAATTATTATTTTATGAAAGTTTGTTAAGGTTCCCTTTGGTATATCACAGTCACTAAGAATCTTATTAATAAAGTTGAGAAGTTTGTCTTATCTTATATAAGACCCAATAAACAAATAAATAAATAAATAGAAAGTGAACAATAAAAAGAGTAATAAAACGAATAAAATAAATGACCAAACTGAAGTACCAAGTATTGCATTTCCAACAGATTTTTAATAATATCCGATATAAAGAGCATAGGACAACATCTGCAGGATTCCTTTAATAACCTACTTGAGTATTCCTCCACGTTTGATTTTAATACGTCCCACTACCCTTTAACACATTGAGCTCCCAATTAACTTCGGAGAACCTTCGCCGAGGCTGATTCGATCATTTCTCATAGTTAAACTGCAAATCCTGATGCAACATCGAGTTTTCAAAAAACAAAATTCCAAAATTCAATAACAAATAAAAATTTACTCTCAGTTCATCGAACGTATAGCAATATAAAACTTCCATTACAGCTCGTTGTACACTGTTTTTACTACGTTTGACACGGTCAAAGTGCTATAAATACATAAAAACCTGCGGATCTGCAACACTCGTTTCTCCGAATCTCGTCCACCTTAATTACATCGATGTCTATTAACGTTTCACAAATATTTTTCAGTGTTCGACCCATTAGTCAGAGACATAACACTCGAAGAGCTAACTTTCCCTGTTACCCTAACTGCACATTCGTGGTGGCCAATACAAAGCACTCATCAATTGATTCCCTTAATGACCTCTATCACATTCGAATCCATTCGAAACAATACATCTAAACATAACAAATTCAACTATAACACTTATACGATACATGCACCAACAACCTTCAAATGAACATTTCCTCCGACCTATCTCGATTAAACCGATCTCACCCGACGTCACACTTTATTTTCGATGCATCCAAAGCATCAGCAAACAGTCGCAAGACTCTCAATAATTCCTAACCCTTACGACAGCGTGCCTCAAACAACCAAAGTCCCAATTCACCCTGAATCCCCCCAAAGGACTGCATCGAAGTACATTCGAAACATCCAGAAGCTACTCATCACAATGATTAATCCCCTCGAACCGGCGAGCGCGTGATCCATATGCGAGCGACACGTCGAAAGCGTGAAACGAGCCCACTTATCCCGTAAACTCCGTCCTACTTACTATATCAACGGACAACCACCGTCGATCACAAACGAGGAAACAAATCGGAGTGATAACACGTCGCGTGTCTCAATCGCCGCCAACGAATCAGAACGGCGAATCACTGTCGCGACTGATCGGTTGTCCGAGCCGATAATTCTTTGACATTCGAACGTGCGGAATATCTTCCTGCTGCCCGCGAACTGGTAGCTGTCCGCAGACACCGAGCAGCCTATCCATAGTTCCCTCCTCAGGGAGGAACACTGAGGCAAAGGACAATCAGCCCCGCGACGAACCGATCACCGATTAATCGGGACAGTCGCTTGGACGTCCCCGACGACACTATCGCGACACTCACTGGCGAACGACACTTGCGAAGTAGCGTTGACCGCGGCGGAGACGGTCGCGTCGCGATTATCCGATCGATGATTCGGCACGTTAAGAAATCCGTACGCATAGGACACTGGCCGCGGACCGGTGTTGTTTCCTCTCGCACGTGTTACTCGGCCCCACGAATATCACTAGGAGACCAGAAGCAACCCCCGCCTGCCGCGGAGAACGGAGGGTGTGAGAGACAGGATGCCGGAACGTCTGACCATGGAAGGGATGATCAAGGAGGCTGGTAGGGAGGATCGACGTGGTGGGAGAGCGAGGGAGAGGGGCGAAGAACGGGATAGAACGGGACCAGAGAGAGACGCGGAGGGATGATCGCGGATTTTGCGCGTGTACTCCCCTCACCACCGAACCATCCCTACTTTCTACTCCCCACCAGGGTGCCCTGTATCCACACCCACGGATTAAAAACCGAAATCCTTCCCCTGTCTCCGTCGTTGTGCTCCGCTTTGCGTGTGCCACTCGTGAGGGGATGCTGCGCAGTCTCTGGACCGTACACATGCAGGACTTCCGCTCGCGATGTACGGCGAGGAAAGTATTCGGCTAGAGAGAAGCTGTTATGTGTATTAACCCTTTGCAGCCGAGAGGTGACTCTTAGTCGACACTTGATTTGCTGGAGTAGAACTATAGAATTTGATGTATAATATTGTACTTCGTGTGATGCATCAATTTGAGAAATAATGAAGTATTAAAGGATTAACCCTTTGCAGTCGAGAGGTGACTCTTAGTCGACACTTGATTTGGTGGAGTAAAACTATAGAATTTCATGTTTAATATTGTATTTCGTGTGATGCATCAATTTTAGAGGTAATAAAATGTAATAGCTTTGTTCCTCGATGTACGTGTGATTTTTCTTTGAGTTATATTGGCAGAATATCGTCTTTATCTCATTGGAAATTGTTCAAATATTTCTAGTGAAAAACTTTCGAGTGCAAAGGGTTAACTTCTTGCCATAGAATAACTGAGACTCTTGATGAAGATTTGTAGATTAACCCCTTGCCCTACAATATCCTGCGAGACATTTAATCCCTTTGAATTCAAATTAGGTATTATTTTTCTATTGTCAGTCATAGTTCTATAAAGTAAACGTAGGCAGAGAATGATCATGAATTGCACTGCTTTTAGCGAATTAAAAGCAATAGTTGTATAGAGTGTAACACACTATTCTTCTATCACCAATTATTGTAGTTTGGAGCAAATATGAATATAGAATATTCTCAGAATTTTTTCCAATACATTATTAATGACAAAGTAGCTTTATCGAATTTAGTAAAGAAAGAAGCAATAAGGTAAGGGGTTAACAGTGAAGAATAACAAGTAGAAAGCAATCTAGAAGTAATCAAGATAATGATCACAGTATTCTATGTGATCTATCTTTTAGCAAATTGACGACATTACAATAGATTTGACGTGCACAGTTGTGAAGGAAATCATAAGGCAAGGGGTTAATTTAACGAAACTCAGTGTTGATCATGCCCCACAGATTGAAGGAAGAAACTATTTTGCTATTATCAATGTATTATCTTTAAATTAAATTTCCGCTTAAAGTAGAATGGACAATTTTGTTAGATTTCTTCTAAATTGTCAACAGTAAAATGCTACACGAGCTCAGCAGCGAAAGGAAATAATACGGCAAAGAGTTAATTAGTGGGCTAGGAAACTTGTGTCTATCTCTATTTTGAAGTTCTTGGTCTGTGTATACGTTTTTTATAGATACTTTCGGCGTGGTAACCTTGTCGTTGACTGCTTAATAGAATATGGGGAAATGTATGAGTCATCTGTGTTCATTTTTGCTGAGGACTGTTGACGTTGAAGATATTTTATTCCAATATTTTGTATATTAGTGTATTATACGAAGGTAAATATTGTATATGAGCTTATAATTTTAGTATATCGAATCTCGAATACAAAGAGTTAATTTTTGTTGTTTCTGGTTGAGGACTTAGAAGTTTGACGAGGTGTTATGGTAAATTAACACTAAAACTACCAGACCTAACCAAGGCCTAACCAAGACCTACACCATATATGGTTGTATAATACCCAGTTTGTGAATATCTACAGGGTGTTTCCTAAGACACCCAATTTACGAAGTTTATAAGTTGTAACTTGTTGTTGGTCAGAACGAAATTGATTAGATTCAACTGGGTATTATTGACAGTGGTGATTATATAATAATGAAAGTACAATGTATGACTGTAGGTGTTGGAGTGTGACCGAGTAATTTATAAAATATAGCTGCTTTTGTATCTAACTTCTGATTATAGTGACACTCGCACACCTTAGTGCAGATTACTGTCGCTGCCAAGCGTCTCAAAATCCAAATTGATCAGCGCAGGAAGGAGAATAAAAAAGCAGAGAGACGAATCGAACATTTTCGAGTGACAGTTTCTCATCGAAGAACGCGCAACGAGAGTAATCTATCGAACGGTGTTGATGAATAGATTATTCTCCGAGCGGATTTGCGAGTATAATCCTGTTCCCATAAAAACTGGAACGAAGAATTACTATTATTCTAACTTTTACTGAGTCACCAAACTGTTCACGAATTAAAATAATTATATAAGTATATTACCGAAATTCGTAAAATTTCCAGTGTTCTGCTTTTATGTTTCGAGTAAATGTTATCGATAACGGTATTTAACATCGCTAGATGGCACAATTAGTGAATATTTACTGCAAGGGACACCACACCAATGACCTTGACCTTTATATATAGACAGAATAGAAGTCATTGAAAGTTACTTACTAAAGTAAACGTTATTTTAATAATTGAAACGATTTTGTTTGAAAATTACTTCACTAAGTTTTTCTAGAAAGGGAAAAGCTTTCACATAGAAATTATAATGAATAAATTGAGTAAAATGTTTAAATTTGAAAAATCTTATGAATAGTTACCTGTTCACAGAAACTCGATCGATATCTCAATCACCATTTTCTTTATTGTAGTTATGTATGTGATAATAAATGAACGATCCGGTAACCTTCCTGATTCTTAATATCCTCTCCGGCGATCTCTTGATCCTCTCTGTCATCAATCACTCTCTCCGCGATCTGCTCGCAATTTATCACCGCTATTTACAGCATTCAGTTGTGCACTAAACATAAAAATCTTAGACATAATATTATATTCATTTTAATTATGCAAACACGCGTCATTAAGACAAGAAACATATTGATACAAATGAAATATCTATCTATGTATGTTTACTTCAATGAAGTTCTAAATTCTTAGGAGAATATTAATCATCAGATTTCAGCAGATTTGAATAAAAGTTTAGTAAGAGCTAATGAAAGTTCATATTTTTCTGAACTTAGTTACAACAATAAATTACATTGGAATTTAACGTATGTTATGATTCATTTCTTGAAAACAACACTTACATTTCTGTGTCTCGAATAACTACATCTTCTCCATTTCCATAAAATGCTCAATCCAATCATATTTATCATAATTTTCTATTTTTACTTAATTTAAAATTCTGCAACTTTCGACTATTAAAGATCAAATTATTTCCGTATTATATTATTTCAGATAATAATACTAAATAATAAACTGAAATTAATGCTTTGATGAATGTTCAAGCCTTCCACCTGAAACTCATATTTATTAGGAAAGATTTCCTGATGTTTCACCAGCATTGCAGCCGTCATAAAATTAATACTGTTATGAATTAATCCTGGTAATGAAGAAATTTGCGATAATAATAATATTTACCGCTATGTGATAAAGATATATATTTCACAGAAATCATCTGAATCTGTAAATTTTCCAATTTTGGACACACTACAAATTACCACACTCCCTGAAATCACAATTTTTCCAAATTTTTTCAGTCTTTGACAACAAACAATATTTATATAATTTCTACATAAAATATATCCACATTGGTCTAGAAACAAAGATAAAATTCATTTTAAACTATCTAAATGATTATCATTTTTATAGACATGTATATTTTTGCCAATCTGGTCGAAATATGCATTACATATTCCAAAAAGGATCATGTTTTTTTCTTAAATATCCGTTATGAGTGATCGCGCCGCCCGTGGCAAAATGCTCAAACTAAAAGATAAGCATTATCGACTGAGCTGCATTTAACACTGATGAAAATTTGTTCATAATCAGAACACAGTCAGGCGAAACTTCCAAAAATCGGCTAAGACCAATAAGAATATTTGTCCAATGGGATAGGAAAACTTTCGACGAAAAGGATTTTCGATCATTTCAAAAATAAGATACAAAATTTTATGGAAAAGTGTGTTACCATTATAATATCACTTCCTACAATCCCGACACGACGTAAAATGAATTTACAATAGCATAAATGTTTCCTTTATTAATTCGCGTAATGTTTGATTGTCAATTTTTACCACTATACTAATTTAAAGTACTTTAACAATTACTTTACTAATTTAAAGTACTTTCGCAATTATTAATGTCTTAAAACCGTTAAATGTTCGAAATGATCTGAAAAATAAATAGTTTCACTCGAATACTGTAATGAATGTTTGAAGAAACTGGAAGTACTCTATTGTTGCCATTTTTATAAGGATTACATACCAATCGTATTAAGTGCTCATTAGTTCTAGTATTAATTCCCTACCTGTAACTTTCACTATATGCTCTCAGTCATTTTTACTATTTATTCCCACATGTATCCTGAAACCTGATGTTTACCTTATTTTATAACGGTAACGTAGGGAGTAATAGTAGAATGGTAAAACCACCGACGACAGAAAACATAGTAGGGTTATGTTTCATCTGGTGTTATTAGTTACTTGACAGTCGGCAACGATGATTCCTACAATAAATACAGTTACATTATTTGTATAAATATAGGCAGAGTTCAATGTATCGTTTCAGTAACGTCTCGGAAATTAATAAATATTCAAAGTTAAAATTTTATATTTGGTGTTCTCTCACCATATCTTCCATTTCATTAAAATTTCATGTGGATTAACGAGAAGTGCTTTTTGGGACTACAGCCATAAGTCCTGTCAAAACAGTAATGGAGACCCACCTTATCATGATTGACCTTTCATTGATCCATTTACGTAAATTAATTTTAAATTAGTGTACTTGCATTGGTCTCTCATAACTTCAACCTTCGTGATCCTTCTTAAATGAAAATATGAACAAAGTGTAAGCCAATGAGAACGACGATGAAATAACGGACAAGAACATACTGTATAATAACTATTTTTTGTTCTTTTAAATAAAACACAACGGTAAATTTTTATGCCTTAAATGGTTCCATATTTCGTTACATTCTCGTTTTTAGTAAATAATTTAATAGTTACGTCATTTTTGAAAACAGTTGATTTTAAGTGCGTTATTATAGGTTTCTCGTTTGCAAGCAATAAATGCAATACCATTAGATTATACCGTTATGATAGTTACTTGATTTATTTTGATAAAATCTGTTGCTATCCTGAATAAGAGGTAACTGAAATGTAGAATTTAAGGTGCGTCTAGATGTGGCGAATAAAGTAAAATTCATTTGGTTATATCACATGTATAGTTAAATCCGATAGCGACGTCATCGAGCGAGGTGGTATTTATAAAATTTCCAAGTTTCTTGTACCACCGTCTGTGCTCGTACTTTGAACTTGCCCATTATCTGTGGCTTGTGCCAATTACCGGTATTGTATTTTTGACGTTCGACTTTATTTTTAGCATATTTGTGCGATTTTTGTTTTAAACCTAATTTATATACATTTGATATATCTATTTAACTATAGTTTAATATTTATCAGTCTCCTTTCTCAAAGTTATCGGTTTATTGCATTTACGCCTTACATTTACGATATAAGGACGTTCAGACATTTCTTTTTAATTCTAAACTGAAAATTCTGTAAGTGTATGTCTTATACAAGTAAGTATACGAAAATTACTTTAAAGAAGAAAACCGACATAATATTTACTTTTTTGTTATCGTTAGTGTCTTTTAATAAAATTTTTCCGTTTTCATATTTTACATAATAACCGTACTTGGAAAACACTGTGTCATGTTGTTGAAAGTTCATATGGTCGCCTTTTAATAAAATATAACGGTATTCGAATAATTACATATTTGTAAACTTTTTATAGGTAACAGAGAATGAAAATAAAATAATTTACTGAACAGTAGTTAATAACATTTTTTTAATACACTTTCGTACTCTGTTAAAAAACTCTAATAACAATTTATTTCAGAAAACTTAATACACAAATGTACAAAGAAATAATCAGAAAGTCAGTTTATTTTCAATTTATTGCATTCTTGAAATTGTAATGTATTTTGGAAATTAATATTTGAGTACTAAGTAATATTAAATCTAAACAAATTAACAGAAATATATTCAAAATGAAATATTGAATATATTGTTTGTATGTAATATGATTCTTTATATTTGTTTTCAGATATTTGCACAAGTTAAACAAAACAAAGAAAATGAGTTTGCAGTGGGGACTAATTGCCGGTTTTCTGTATGCAGAAATTGTTGTTGTGTTGCTATTGGTATTGCCAGTAATATCACCAACGAAATGGCAAAAGTTTTTCAGATCACGATTTCTACAAAGTCTAACCAATAAAGTGTCAATCTGTTTCTTTATTTTAATTGCTATATTAATTTTATTCTTTTTGGATGCTATAAGAGAAATGCAAAAATATACTTCACTTTCACAACATCTGGGAGACCATGCACATTTAGATGCTGAAATGCAAGGTATATATCAATTTACATTATACCGTATGTTATAATGGTTTAATAAAAAAATGTACAGTATTTAGTCAGTTTGTAATTTTATTGTTGATTTATATAGGTAACATGAAGTTATTCAGAGCACAAAGAAACTATTTTATATCAGGCTTTGCATTGTTCTTGAGTCTTGTTATACGACGTCTTGTAGTATTGATATCTTCTCAAGCTATGTTATTAGCTTCGAATGAAGCAGCTATGCGACAAGCACAGTCTGCAACAACAACAGCAAGAAGTTTATTATCTCAGAAGACAACTGGAGAAAGTGCTCAAAATGATTCGAATGAAGCATATGACAAAGTTGCATGTGAACTAAAGAATCAACTCAAAGAGTTACAACTGAAGAACCAAGAATTAGAAAATCAGATTATTGTTGAGCAGAAAGATAAAAAAGCTGTAAAATCACAAGCTGAATCTCTTGCTAAAGAGTATGAACGTTTATGTGATGAGCATGCCAAGTGTTCTTTATCAAGTGGTGATAAGAAGAGTGATTAAATCTTGCTTATTGTTTTTCATTTTCTTATTAAAAATTTTTTTTGATTTTGAAATAACGTATCTCATAAACTTTCATAAAAAAATATTTTTAAACATCTTTGTTTTCTACTCTGAATCTTGCATCATTGTTATTTAATTAAACTGTTGTTTCATATGGCACTTTTCTACTACATCTGATAACATTTGAAAATATACAGGGTGTACAATCACCCCTAGTTTCATTGTACCACCAGTTACGGGACACCCTGTATATAAAAATATATATATTATATGTTTATGATGTTACAAATAAATGTATTGAAAATTGGTAAAATACGTAGTGATTGAAATACAATCGAATGTCAAGTTTGCTTCAACATAAAATCACAAACAGTTAACCCTTTTAACAACTGAATAAAGATATAAAGACAAAAAACTTTAACAGAGTTTCTCTATCTTTAATATCTCAAAAAAAATAACATTTTTTCAAATTGTTCACTACGTAGAACTGTTTTCAGTAACAAAAAGTACATGTATTTTCTCAGCAAATATGTTTGTTTAAAACAATCACATATATTTATACACTTATATTATTGTTTTAAACAAATTTTGCAAAATATAGTAGCACTTGAGTAAATATTTTGTATGTGTGCTTTGGTTTAAGGAAATATGAAGAAGAATTTTGCGAGTAATATTTAATTTTACTGGTTAAAAACTATATAAAAGTGATTATTCTATATAATGCTGTGCCTATTAAGTCATAGATCAGTATTTCTCAACCTATGGGCCATGAAATGGTAGCCGTTACCTTACACCAAAAGAAGGAATTTATATTTATCGGTTTGAACCAACCTGTTTTATTTATTTTTATTATTAAAATCGTTAGTTTTATATTTTTTCATTGTTAAATTTAAAAATAAAAAATAAAATTGTAACATTTTTAAGTGACCAGAGAGACCAGAAAAGTCAATTCAGATCTGTTTATAAACTATTAATATTTGAAACTCAATAATTTACTGTTAAGTACTTTATAGAGTCTATATTTGTTTTATCAAAAATGTTATACATATTTTTCTGACTTCCCTTTCATGAATTCCATTTGGTGAGATCAGGTCTCAGGTCTATTTCTGTTGAATTCGAAAGAAATAAATGAGGTTCAGTATGCATAGAGATAAAATTGAAGGTATATAAAAAACAACAGAGAAGTCAGTACATGTAAATAATATTTACATCTGAAATGCCCCGATTAATTTACATATTGTGCAATAAAAAAAGCTAAAATAATACCTGCTTAATGGAACAAATAGAACTCACAAGACTATGGTATGAATAAATCACATATGTAAGTCCTGCATACATTGATTAATTATAATTATTATTTTATCTTAATAATATTTCTTACTAAATACCCTATAAATTTAATGTTAAACATTGAAGGATTATACGTTTATAATACATCAATTTTCTAATCTCAAAATTTCAGAGAGTTTGTTAAATACATACATAGTGAATTACAATTTGCAAACAATTTCGATTTATTTTTCTTAGAAAGATTTATAAAAATTGTCTATTGCGTATATTTTATATTTAAATAAAATTAAGTAATATTAGAATCTGGTATTAAGAGCCTTTTGTTATTAAGAAACGACGACGTGTTATATTTCCATAAATTTATAATATTCTTCATAAATAAAAAAGTATAATTTAGTAGTACCACGTGTCATTTACACACAGGATGAATTAACACTATAAATATATTTTATATTTTATTTCAGTGACAGAATTTTTGTTAATTAAATATGAATTGGTAACAGATGTTATTTTCAATTTTGTGGTAGATATAATTTAGAAATGTGTAACAATAAAAATTATAGTAAGTGTTAAAGCCTCATGGAAAAATTTATTCTCTATTCTGTTAGAAAGAATAATATCGTCTTTAATCAACTTAAATGATATTTATAGAATAGACTAATAATTGGTTAAAATTACGGTCAAAGATTGAAATATTCCCGCCAGTCGATTTCTTTAGTGTAGTTCATACTGCATTCAAAGTTAGCGCTGTTCCTGCTATTAAACGATTTAGAGTTTGTGTAGGAGATCTATCTTTTTCTATTATCAGTGTTTCTATTTCACATCGAAAAAGTAAGTAAACATGGCGAATGGAGCTGGAACGAGATTTCAAGATTTGCCTCCTAAAGGAGGATATGCTCCTTTTGAGTATGAAAGAATTCCATTACGTGGTTTGATGAAAGGTTCATATATATTTATATATATACATTTATATTTATAAATGTAGGAAGCGATTCTAAAATTGTATTATTTTAATATAATTGATTATACAGCACTTACATGAAATTATTATAAAATGATTAGGTCGTACTGCAGCAGTGCTTTTGACTGGTGTTTCAGTCCTTGGATATTGTTTATATGGACTAAATTATAAGAAAGTAAGAATTGAAACTATTGAAATGATGAGCGCAAAGTTTGCTATACAACCACTATTGGAAGCAGAAAGGGATAGAGCGTAAGAGCAGTATATATAATTTTGTTTATCTGAACTATTTCAGTGAAATAAATATGTATATGCATCTAACAATTTCCATGGATATGGATTAATCTTTACCAGTTATATATCACCTCTGACATAACATAATATTTTATTATGTAAGCCAGATGTCACTTGGAAGGAGAGATTGAAGATTCAGTTCCAATTAACTATTTAATTTAACTACGAATTGTGTACAAAGTATTAGTATCTAATGTAGGTTAAGGATGCATATATGTACATATTTATCAACCTCATTTAATTAATTTTAAACTGCCATGTTCTATTTATAAATCTAAAAAGATGTTAAAATCTAGTCCTAGATATTCTGGAATAAATTATGGATGATACACTATAATTTTAGAATGACATATTGTAGTTTGTAAGTATGAAAGTAAAATAAACTGTGCAATAGATGTGCATTGCAATTCTAGATAAATTTGGTAGTTAAACAGAGATTTCTTGTTTATCTACAATTTTATTTAAATTTTCATCACTTTGTCAGTTTTCTGCATCTTTGAATATAGGTATATGTTACAATTGTCAACAATAGTTAAACCTTTTAAGACAATTATTTTTTGCAAAGTATTATTCATATAATACTTTCAAGAGTTGAAATTTCATTGATATTGTTAATATAATAATTTTGAGGAAAAGCGATTGTTATGTAATTCCTTTGATTGGATATTACTTGTATCACTGATTAATCAATTTAATATTTTAATGTTCAATCGATCTCTTTTGGTAATAGTATTCTGAAGTTAATGAAACGTGCCCAAGCTGAGGAAGCTGATCTAATGAAGAATTATGCAGGCTGGAATACTGGAAAACTCTTTGACGAACCAGTGTATAAAACATTACCAAAAGATACACATGTGGAACCCATGATAGAAGAGTTAGTAATTCATTCTGATCCCAAAGACAGCAGAAGCATATTCTGGAATGGATACTTTTTCTAAGCATTTTCTTCCTATTTATACAGTTTAATATAGTATTGTAAAATATAGTAAAAATATATAAATAAAATTACACCATTACAAACACATTTAATTTCTTTATCCTGATATGTTGATAAATTAATATTATTGAATACTCAGACATTTATATTCATATTGTGTTGTTTCAGTTATTTTATTTAGAAACAAATAAAAATATTGTAACAATTGTTACTTTACATTATCATTCAGACTTCCAATATTATATTGAAACAATAGTAAACCAGTGAAGTCTCATATATAATTAAATAGTTTATACAGAATGATTTTTTAGTCAGAGACTCCAAAGTACAGCTAACAAAAATAACACTTCTTTATTGATTCAAAAAGCGATACTCTGAAGAAAGACTTCCCTACTAAGAAAAACTCGAACATTTCGATTTTTAAAACAAAAAGTAGATATTGGCTGACTGTTTAAATATAAAATCACACAATTCATTAACAATTAAATTTCTATATAATAGTAATAATCTGTTAGTCATTACGCTTTCGAATATTTTCAATTTCAATAGAAACCTACCATGATAAACAATTATATTACAAATAATTCTTCTAATATTAGTAGTGAATTTCATTGATGCAACGATAAAAATAGTTACATTAATCATTTTCTATGCAATTTCGAGTGCAGATTTAAATTTAAATGTAAAAAATCTTACAAAAAGATAGTATGTCAATAAATCAATAATTTCAAATAGTCATTATAGCTCGTACTGCAAGGAAAAGCTGCATATTTATTACATTTCAGAAATAAACACTTATATATTTACATTTCGTTCTACTTACCGAATAACGCCGACACTCGACGTATACTTCCCTAATTATCCAGGCTTCACCGCGTCCCATCTGCTTCATTCAAATCTCCGTATAAGGGGTGCACGCGCATTGTTCCCGTCTCACTCGGTCTCTCTTTACACAATAGTATCAATTACATTGTTATTACAACACTCCGATCGATACTTAAATAGATAATGCGTGTCGGATTATATGATAGTTTTAAGTACAATCGGAAGGACAGTGCTCGTCAACCTGATTTTTTTAATCCTTACCGTTCGTTCTTTTCTACAGATGTTCTACTTTTTTTCTACGTATTCCTCGTTTTTCTGTTGTTAACAGTAAAACCACCAGACTGGTCAAAACGACTCACTCCTGATGTCTTCCTTTTGTAATTATCAGAAAGACAACAGATATTCCTTCGAGAAACTATTCAAGAAATTGATTCAGCAATACACAAACAGTATTGTAAATCAATTGAAATCTTGATAGATGCATTTGCCGAATTTCTATAGAAAAATTTCAAAAAGTCAATTTAACTGTTCGGTAGTTTCAGTGTTAACGATACTTATGCAAATATTCAATGTTAACACGTTAAGCGCCATGTCAATCACTGATGACCGACGTTTCTGAATTAGTTAAAAACAATCGTAACATAGAATAACCCATGTCGAATGACACTGTTTAATAATGTAACTAAGCTGCTAACAGTCTAATACAAAGACTACCGCTAAATAATTAACAATTACTGTTTTTCTTTGCTACAAGACAATAACTCTACAGAAAAGCGGTCAAGATTTTCACGGCATTTAACGTATTAACACTAGAACTACCGAATAGTCAAATTGACTTTTCGAAATTTTTCTATAGAAACTCCGTCAGTGGTACTATTGAAATTTCTATCGATTCACAATTCAGTTCGTCTATCGCTAAATCAATTTCTATAATAATTTCTCCGAGAATTATCCGTTATCTTTATAATAATTGTAACAAGAAGGAATCAGGAATGGGTCATTTTGACCTCTCTGGTAGCTCTAGTGTTAAACAAGGACCAAAGACTATCGAAAAGTCCCAAACGAACCCAAGAAACTGAAAAGAGAATCGTATCCGTTCGAATACAGGAAGATTGAAATTGTCATCGACGAAACATGCTTTTCTCCTCTTTTAATTGAAAAGATTCACGAGCCCATTGGGAAATAGCATATATATATAATGTTACCCGCAAAGACGGATGCGTTTGAAAGTCCCTGCTGGCCGCAACATGGGTCCGACGAGATAGCATCGAATGCTCAACTATGCGGTTAATTTGAAACTGAGCCCCAAAGAACTACAATTTAGCGAAGTTTGGGGTCGTACGGTGGGGTCATATATAAACAGGAGTTCATTAATCGACCGCAGTTCAACATTCGGCACACGACGGATAAGCAAGATGAAGGACTTCAGTATACAGAGCATTTTGGCGGACACCGCCAAACATAAGACTAAAAGCGAGTCAACCGATTTGGTAGTTCCTGGAAAGCGGATAAATTTAACAAGATTGAAACGTCATTTATGTATAACTGACAACTCGATGAAAACAGTTGACGGAGGTGAATGCAGCGGTAGGAATTCGAGGAGAATCAGTAACATTGGCACGGAGGACGAACAGTTTTTCATCCAGAAACTTTATATAAATTTCGAGCAAGAAACGTTTGATATAATCGATGAAGAGGAAAATTTAGCGACATTACGCGAAAGAAAATGTAAACGCAATGATGGAGAGCCTTCGGAAGGTGTTACGCAAACAAAGATTGATTTATGTGAAGGAAATGGTGCTGAGATAACAGAGGAATATGGTGCGAAGGGTAAAGTCAAGTCGCGATCATTTGGAAATGGTGTACGCTGCAAAAACGAAAACGAGCATAGCTTGTCCGAGGATTCTATGGATGATCATCAGAGAAGGAGTTCCTCGCGGAAAGTGAAGACGAGTAAAATAAAGTATGAAGGAAATTCGGGGAAGAATGATCACGATCGCGCGAATTGTTTGAATGAAACGCGCGGCAGTAGATTACTGGAAAACCAATACGAACGTTTAAAAGATGACGAGAAATCAATAGTGCAAAGTGATTGTTTGTTAGCAAATGATGCGAAGAAAAATATAAACGATTTCTTTAAAGACGGCACGGAGAGTTTGCAGGAACTGCGAAGTGAATTAGAATGGCTTCATTGCACGAGATATAAACCGCCGAAGGTTCCTAGGAGATCAAGGACTGATCAGCATAAAAGGAAAGCTAGTCTCCATCCCAGAATACCATTTTCGTCGTATCAAATCGACGTTCTCGAAAGAAGATTTCACGACAGTGCTTACGTTTCGAAAAACGACGTACTCGATCTTTCGGCCGCTTTAACGCTTCCTCCTAAGAAGGTTCGCCATTTTATAGTTTACTATTTGATCTTATTAAAGAGATGATATAGGATGTAATGTATCTGCAGTTTTGTATAATATAGAAATATTAAGATTAATTTTTATTATTAACCCCTTGCCTTGTGATTTACTTCTTAACTGTGCTTGATAGAACAATTTATGTCGTTAATAATTTAGTGGAGAATTAAACGAATTTTATATCTACTTTGTGTGTACATTAAGTCTAAAGGTTAGAGATTAGTAATAGGCAAGTAATGCTTAATTTATGTTAGAAATTAATAAGTAACGCTTAGATTTATCGAATTCGCTTTGAAATTTTCAGCGAGTTTGACGCGTTATTGTAAGGCGAGAGGTTAATAATTGTCTTTCTGAGATACAATTAGAATTTACATGAATTATTATTTTTAGTAGCTTCTTATAAGAGTTATTGTTAATCATTTAACAATTGAAGTCAGTGAAATAATTAGTGGCGTAACATTTTTTTGTGTACGTTATTACAATCATTTTCTATTTTTGTTTTTTAGGTAAAAATTTGGTTTCAAAATCGACGCGCTAGAGAGAGACGTGAGTCCCACGGTAACTTGTGATAAATAAAATAATATCGTACAGTGTACACTATTAACAAATTATTCTATTACTATAAATGTTTTAGTCATTACTGAATTACTACACTTATTTACTGTAAATAAATATCTATATTTGTAAAACTAAAGAATAAAGGTATATTTTTCATTATTGTTATATAATATATATATATATATATATATATTTGTATGAAAATACGCACTTAACAATCAATACAAATAAGAAGAACAAATACAAGAGTGTAATCTATAAAAATGATTTCGATAAATCTTAAAGAATATTATGATAAAAGTTTCTTATGGATAATGTAACGTATAGATAATCAAACTGTTAGAATTAATTAAATGAATAATATAATATTCTTTTCTTATTACAAACGAATCTGATGTAAACAAAACCATGTGACATCCACATAAAGATAATAATACTGATATGTATAGTAATATATACCTATTATTGATAAGAAGCTTATTTCACTAATAAACAATTGATTGAGTGTAGAATTTAATAAAATAATAAGTGATCAGAAGTTGGAAGAATTTAATGTAACATTCAATTAAAAACTACAATATAATCAGAATTCCGTTCGCTGGATTGTGCTAGGGTTCATTAAGAACATAATACGGTCCTGTTCAAAATACACTGAACCAATGAGAATCTGTCCATGTGACATGCAGATCGCCATTATGTTTTACATAAGATTTATTTTTAATCCGAATGAAGAAAATATGCTATGATTATTCACGTTATTAATAAACACCTCGTAATATTTATTTTTTAATTAATATAAAATGATTTCGCTTTAAAAAATGACTGGATCATACCATTGAAAAATATAATCACTTCTCTTTGCACGTTTCAGATAATTACCTAAACTTTCAAGTTTATGTTGTATCACGGCGACTATGAATGAATATGCAATCTATAGCATTTCTTGTTTACGTAATCTTTAATATTTCCTACTAGATGTCGTTTCGTTCGAGTAAGAAGTATAAGCTAACCGAGCTATTCTATATCAGTCTACGTTAGAGCAGTTGCGCGACGAATCCTGCCTTTGCGTATGCGCGCGCAGTTTGTTCAATTCCTATAAAATTTACGAACTCTTTCGTATTCGAAGATGCAGCGTTCCGTCCAACAAACAAACGGGGATGGCGTTCTCGCTTCGCCAAGAAAAAAACAACGTTTATCAAATGCCTCTGCGAAAGTTACTGTCGTTCTCGGCGCGCAATGGGGCGACGAGGGTAAAGGCAAGGTCGTTGATATGCTTGCAATGGATGCTGACGTCGTCTGCAGGTGTCAGGTGAGTCCGCCATCTTTTCCTTTGCCGCCTACCTTTTTTTCTTTTTAATGCTAATTCGCTGATACACAGCTCTGTAGAAATTACAATTTACTCATCTATCCGCCGCCTTAAAAACCCGGTACATTTCTTTTCCTATTGTTAGTGAAATTTTCATTCATTTTATTGTTTATTTTGAAGTTGTGAGGGAAGCATTTCCTCTTCCCTCTCTCTCTCTCCCTCGCACGCACGCACGCACTGTCTTCTTTTCCCTCCTATTTCTCCCCTTTGCTCTCCTCGTGCCGTCATCTTTCCCCTCCTTCCTTAGCACGTGATTATTCAAATGCCGTCTTCTATTTTCATATTTTAATTTGTAACTGTGCAATCGTTTTCTATTTTTGTTACTTTACACTCGTGACAGTTGTCACTTTTAATTCGTTAAAACAATTTTGTAATTGGTAATTCTCGACGCGATATCGTTTTTTAACCATATTTCTGTTGTTTACCTTTTTGTGTGTAGGTGCGGTATTTGTTATTATGCATAGAAAAATTGTGATCCACGGAATTTTGCATTGCTGCAACACCCTTTATTTTCATGCTCCTTTGTTTACCTTTGTTTGTTTATCGGTTTTATTCTGGCTAGGGGATATATGATTACTGTTCACTAATTTAGTAGACTAGCATTATACGATAGACCTTTGCATTAGACAGTCGAGGCTCATATTATGGAATCAAAGGGAATTGCTATGCCTCACGTTAATATGTGTGATAATCTTAAGAGTAGTTGTTATTGTCTTATATAACAACTGTCGCTATTAAATATTAAACTCGTAAATTTCATCCTTAATGTTATCCTCATGTTATTTTATTAATTCATTTATAGCCCTCATATTTATAACTTGATTTCAACTGCATAATATCTTGCCTTTCAGATATTTATTGTAATATTCAATGTAAATTGCATATATCAATTTTCAAAGAATTATTATTTATTTTTAGATTCGCAGAAGGTTAATCAACATTTGCATTACCTTATAGCTTCAATAGGTTTCACAAACTTAAGCATTAATTGCCATATAAGCAACTAATACAGTAAAATTTTTTATTTCATTTACTTCATTCACTATAATATAGACAATACTTTCTATTTTACAATAAAGTTAATTAAATCATTATTAAAACTTATGAAAAGTTTTAAGTTCTTCAAAATGTAACATTCTTTTTAACAACTACAAACAATTAATTACTCAAACACCAGAATAATAAATAAGTTATGAGACTTAGTACTTCAATTCAAAATCATTATTATTACTACCAACAGATCTCAAACCCAATTTCGAAGATAATAAAATAGTTTATGTTATCACACCACATTACCTTTTCCATCATACAAATATTCATATGTAAATAATTTATAATATTATTTACACAAAAATTTATGCAAATCGTATTCCTCCCATTTTCAATATTAAAATAAAAGTTACAACTATAGTCTTCAACGTTATGTTAATACGACAATAATTCAATTTTCGAATATTTTCTATAATTGTATCATTAATGAAAGATATTTAGATCTCCATAGTGTTAGTGGTTTATTGTCATTCAGTGAAATGACAAACATTTTTAAATCCGACAAATTAAATCGAATACAAAACATTTTTTTTTCAACCTCCGAATTTGACCGGACCATTGAAGGCGAATTCTCAAACATGAAAATCTCACATTTCCGAGTACTCGTTACGAGATCGACGGTCCGTTAGCATTATAAATTAGCTATCGATATACTTAAACTGCCAAGCCTTTGTAATATCCAAAAATAAAACGTTTTGCTCACTTCAACCGGAAGACTGCTTCAACTCACCCCATCCATTGCGTAGGATCTTGCATCGATGATCAAAATTACTGATTCATGCCATTTTAGATATTGCGACTATCAAATTTCTTCCTTTCGGTGACTTCGTCGTAAATTTTTCCGTCTAAAATCCTCGATTCCTGCATTTGTTGAACCACATTCTTAAGTTCCCCTTTTATTTTTGAAGAATTTGCTGAGTAGCCGCGAGAAATGAACACCAGGTTGGATCTTGGGACTTTTCCAGATATTGTGTAAACATTTTAAATACTCGCATCGGTATTTTACAGGAACATTATATCTCCGAGTGTGCTAGCATGCGTATACAGCGATGCTCGGTTTAATTCATATTTCGGGTTCAGGAGCAGTGGAATTTAACCGAGCAGAAAAAAACAGGAGGAAGCTATTTCCTTCCAGGAGTTAACTCCAGCACAGCCTGACGAAGACAGAGAATTGATATAGTGAGCGGAAGCGGGATAGATAGTCTGTTGAGCATCGAGGGTCGAGACGCGGGACTTAAAGGCGACGCCGCGCGCGTCAAATATAAACATGCAACGAAGAAAATTTCAATTGCAGTAATTTTAACCTTACCTTCTTAAATATAGTGCCAGTGAGTTTCTGAGATTGTCGCGGTTAAAATGAGTCCAAACACGATGGTAATCGGACTAGTTTCACCGACTTGGTGTAATTAACGAAATTAAAGGTTCGTTTCCACGGAATCGATAAAACTAGACCGATTACCATCGTGTGTGGACTCATTTTAATCTGGAGAATCTCGATATTCCATCGATACTACGATCGAGAAGATAATATTAAAATTATTGCAATTGAATATTCTTTATTGCATGTTTATATATCTGTTTGACCTGTGTCTGTCTCTTCGCCTCATTGTATTCACTTTCTATCCCTGTCTACTAGGATCACGTTACTCTGAGCTCAAGACAGTGAGTAGTGAGGGAAGAGTAACAGTGGCGCAGTGAAATTTAGCCGAGCAGATTTTGTGTAATTTAAGCGAGCGTCACATTCCTCTGCTTTTTGTTCTGTGGATTTAATCGATTTGCCAAATGAGTGGCTCATATATTACATTCAAACATTTCTATGACGAAAACAGTCATCATGCCCATGTTGTCTACCTGGTATATAGTGTTCCTATTACTTGCGGATTTTACAGGAAAATCTAATCTTCGTTGCGCGTCGCGCGGATTCGTGCAAACCCGTGATAGTCACGACTAAAGTCGATACGTTCGTCGCTTTCCAGTTCTGTTTACTTCTGTTATCTACGGACTTAAACAATATCTTACACTACAAAGTGTACATTGATTTTTTCACGCGGTGTGTCATGTACAGAGCGACGCGCTTGAATCGAGGCATCTGGCCGACTGGTTCGTTTGTAGGAATTCTATTTGCGAAAGTAGAGGAGCATGTTCCATGCAAAAAGAACTTCTGATTTTGTTTGTCATTTACAGGAGACGTGATTTTTTTATCTTTCACTGCTCGAAGTTTATTTCAGAGATTTTTTTGAATGTGTATACATTTTTTAGTTGAATATTTTATTAACCTCTTGCTTCTTATACGATAACTACTGAGACTCGTGATGAAGATATCTAGATTAATTCAATAAAGTTCAATGAACACATTGCGCATGCATCAAAGCAACAAGACATTTTGCCATTAGCAACTTATGAGCTTCAAAGTAAATTTGGACCTACAATGAAGTAGAACATTTTTTAGCTCCTCCAAATTGTTGATAGGATCCACGATCCAGATAATAAATCCAACGAGCTTAGCTAAAGTAACACAGGAAATATGTTTTACTCATACAGTGGCCATTGAAACGTTGATTATTCGATCAAGAATACGTACACAGTTGAATAATAACGACCAGAGGCGATTTGTTTTACAATGATTTAAGATAAATAATCGAGGAAACTAAAAATTCGTTAATAATAAAGATAAATGCAAACGATCCTAGCCATCCACTGTAAAGAAGTTAGTATCCAGTCAATTGTGCTAATTATAATCTTGCGACAGAGAAGTACCCATAAATATCCCATTGATTTTAAATTTGGATTAGGTCATTCCTTTTTATATACTTTTTTTTTACGTCTACTGGCATTGTTGCGACGCCAGCCTCGATTACCGTCTGGATTTACGCTACGGTCAAGGGGGTCAATGCCATTTTTGGGACAGTGTCGAACATGACTCTCGCTTTGTACACTTTTTCAACAACGTCGCTATGGTTGGGAAACCTATCGCTAGAACTATCGGATTTGTCGAAATGACTAATTTCGAGATTCTTATTTTAGAACTATTAATCCCTTGTTCTGCGATTTACCTCTCAACTATCTAGTTTGCCATTAATTAGAACTGCCGAGCTTTTAATACGATTGACATGTAATCTTTATAAAAATTGTAACAGTTGATTATTTCCAGTTTCTTCAGACATTCGTTGTAGTATCCAAGTGAAACTACTTATTTTCAAGATTATTTAGAATATTCAATGCTTTGAAAATATCAATAATTGCGAAACAAAAGAGTAGAAAACAGCCATTTTGACTGTTAATTAAGACAAGAACTGCCAAGCATTTAATACAATTAATATGGAGAAATGAAACTTATTTTCAAAATTACTTCGAATATTTGATACTTTTAAGATATCAATAATTACTAAATAAGAAAATTAAAACTAGCCATTTTACACCAACTACCGTCAGGTAGTTCTTGTGTTAATAATTTATTGAAAAAAGGGGAAAATACTAGGTGTATTCTATACTTGTTTGCTCTATTGGTGACAAAAGAATATTTCATTTGATTCCAAAAGAGTTGAGTAATACTTATTGTAAAATGATAAAGACACTTTTGTGCTTCGAATCCCAAGAAATGTACTCTTAATTTTTATGACAAACGAATCACTCTTAGTGTTCGCTAGTTGTAGCGTTAAAGCTGCCTTCGTACGATATGACGTACTACGATAGTCGTATGATAGATACTAAGTATACTGGGTGTCCTATTTTACCGTTAGACAACTGAAACTTTTTTTGTTTCACTTTGGGAGAAAATTAACCCTTTGCACTCGAGAGGCAACTCTAGCTGCCATTTGGTTTAACGTTGTAACTACAAGATGGGACAAAATGGCCCATTCTCGTCTCTTTCACAGTTATTGAAAAGGCACAGA